GGAGGCGAGCCGCTTCACCAAGCTGAACCCAGACTGGCAAACCCCCCAGCTAACCCTCAGAAACCGAAGTCCCATAAATGCTTATTGTTGAATGAAGTGTTGTGCTTTGTTACCCAGGGATGGGTAAGCAGTGCAACCCCAAATCCACTCTCATAGAAATAAGACTTTCCATTTAGGTTAACTCCCTTCCAGACCTTCCCGAATGCACATATGTAAGTACACAATTACGTTTACTGTTCTCTTTGCCCAAAACCTTGTTACCCGGCATCTTGTAACAGGCTGCTTCGTAATAGTCAAAGCTCATCTGAAGTTGGGTTTCTTTTCTTTCGCAACTTCATTTACAATTGATGTGTAGTGCTGTGTTGTGCAGTGGGGTGTACAATGTGATGATTTGGGAGGTGCCTAGGTGGCTCAGTGGGTTAAGCCTCTGCCTTTGGCTAAGGTCATGATCTCAGGGTCCTGGGATCAAGCCCCGCATCAGGCTGTCTGCTCAGCAGGGAGCCTGCTTCCTCCTCTCTCTCTGCCTGCCTCTCTGCCTACTTGTGATCTCTGTCTGTCAAATAAATAAATAAAATCTTTAAAAAAACAAAAACAAAACAAAACAAAAAACCAATGTGATGATTCGGTGCATGTATATATTGCAAAATGATTACCAGGAGAGGGCAAGTTAACACATTGCCTCATATAATCACTATTTTCTTTGATAGTGGGAACATTCAAGATTTATTTTCTTATCAGTTTTCAAGTATGTAATATAATGTACTGTTACGTGTAGTTACCATGCTGTCCCATGGATCTGCAGAACTTTCTTGTCTCATAATGGGAAGTTTCTACCTTCTCACCAACATCTCCCCATTTCCCCCAGCCCCCAGACTCTGGAATCACCAATCTAACACAGGTTTTTATAAGTTCGGCTCTTTTAGATTCTATAGGTAAGTGAGATCATGCAGTATTTGTCTTTCTCAGAGTGAACCCTAGTGAAACCATGGGTTGGAGTTAACAGCAAGGTAGCAACACTCCCTCATCAATTGTGATTTCCTCTCACCAGCTTCATTCCAAATGCTCACTTGTCACATATGGCTAATGCCAATCCTGCTGGATGACGTAGATCTAGAGGAAGAGGAAGTAACCCTTCCACTCCTCCTCTCTTGGCCAAAATGGGAAAGGGAAGTTTGTAATTAGGTATCATTAAAGTAATTTATTTCAGTGATTAAAGAGTCTTGATAGCTCACCCCTTGGGAGCAATGAGGTGGTCATTCTCTCTCCTTCAATGAGTCTGTTTTGCACAGGAGTCTTCCGTTGGGAGGGCTCACCGATGCTCAGATCCTTGAAGTGGAGGGAAGAAACTCCAGCCACTGAGAGCAAGCAAAGTTGCTCAGGTTACATCTGCTTTTCACTTAATATTGTATCAAGTAGAAAATCAAAGAGACTTTTTTGAAACATTTTTAGTAATTTTTTTTCACGTTCTGGATCTTTCTCTTACTGGAGGAAAAGCACCAATTCATTTAGTTTGATGACCAATGCATGCTGATCTGCTAGAAAAAGCGTATGTGGATTATTTACCCTATTTTTGTCTTTATAAACACTGTTGAAATGAACATCCCTGTGTTTCCATCTTTGCACACTTTTCTGAAGTGTAACTGTTGTATCAACAGGTATGTAGAGAGGAGATATTTCTAAAACTAGAGATAATTAGACAAATCACAAAAAATTAGAATTTGACTTCAAAAGTAATAATTTTATTATTAAAACAACAACAACAACAACAACAGCAACGTGAATTCAAGGGCAAATGTCTAATGAAATCTCTTTATCCAAAACCAAGAATAAAGGTCAGCATCTTCATTGCATGACAAGTTTATAGAATCAATGAGTAAAATTCTGAATATAGAGTAGGTTCATGGGTAAGGAATATAAACTGACAACTCCTTAAGTAGAAATGCAAGGATAAACACACAAAAGTCCTGTCTCATTACTAATCAAAGAAAAAAAAAACTTAAACCATATTGTGCCACATTTGCTTGATCATTAAGTTGACAAATTTTGAGAAGAATGATAATACCTATGCTGAGTGAAATAAGTCAAACAGAAGACATTTATCGTATGGTTTCGCTCATAAGTGGAACATAAGGAATAGCATGGAGGACATCAGAAGGAATGGAAAAATGAAGAGGGGGATATCAGAGGGGGAGAGGAACCATGAGAGACTATGGGCTCCAGGAATCACACTGAGAGTTTTAGAGGGGAAGGGGTGTGGGGAATGGGGGAGTCTAGTGATGGGTATTAAGGAGGGCATGGATTACACGGAGCACTGGGTGTTATATGCAAACAATGAATCATGGAACACTACATCAAAAACTAATGATGTACTGTATGGTGACTAACATAATATAATTAAAAAAAAGAATGACAATACATGTGTCTCACAAGGGAGCAGTATGGGAAATTCTGGCCAGAAAATGATAAAAACCAAACATGAAGGTTTTAAGGACATGACAGATATGGATAGAGAGAGCCTTTCACACACTTCATATTTAAAGTTCAAGATCTCCTGGACAATCCAACAAAGAATTTGATTTGGGGACGCCTGGGTGGCTCAGTAGGTTGGGCGGCTGCCTTTGGCTTGGGTCATGATCCTAGGGTCCTGGGATTGAGTCCCGCATTCCAGAACCTTGCTTGGCTGGGAGCCTGCTTCTCTCTCTCCCTCTGCCTGCTGCTTCCCCTGCTTGTGCTCTCCCTCTCTCTCTCTCTGTTAAATAAATAAATAAAATCTTTTTTTTAAAAAAAGAATTTGATTTGTTTTTACTGCTGATCGATCTAACAACCCAAGGACAGAACCAGCCTCTGATAGCTGCCAGTCTGTCAGCAGCCCACTCAAGAAAAGAAAAATGAAGTTCATAGTCCCTACATTGCCTAGTTTTTCCTTCTGCTTCTATCATCTTTCTGTTCTGTAACTCTGGTTTTTGTTTTTGTTAGCTGAAACCCATCTAATTACTGATTTTCCTTAACACCAGTAATGAATGAGCTGGACTGTGAGCCATGTGGTCAGTGACTGACTCTCTCCTGGTCACCTTAATGTCAGGAGATCCCAACAGTATGCAGGACTGAGGGCAGGAAAGTGTCTGGAATGGCTACGTGCCTTGTAGCCCTGGGGATGTCTCCTCATGAGAGAAAGTAAAGTGTCTTTGAGGGTCTAGAGCTCTTTTGTGCTTCATTCAGAGGGAGATTAGCAATCCTTTTCCAAACTATTTCATGTATTGGACTTGCACACAGGAAAATCTGACATAAGATTTTCACAGCTAACAATGTGTAGTGACCATTGGGTTATATACTTGCTAAGTGAGTTGGTAGCTCTAAAGATGGCTCATGGAGAGAGTGGTAGGCCTATAATGATGTGTGTTTGTGTGTCTACGTCTGTGATGGGCATGGAGATGTGCCTCCAGATCCCCCTTCAAGAACTTGCTGTTCTTGCCAAGAGAGCAGTGAGCTGACAGCCACTGGTTACACCACCATCAGGATCCACCTCAGCTCAGAGCCGAGTCCATGCTGTTCCAAGAAAGCCCCAGACCGAGAACAGTTTGTTCACACTCCCTAACATTACAAAGCCAACTATTATGGGGGCTCATGTACCTGGAACCTATGAGGTTAAGAGAGATTCCAAAGGATGAGGTCTCATCCTTGACCCTCTTTTTCTCCCACCCCATATTCAATTCATCAGCAAACCTTGCCAGCTCCATCTTCATAGCAGATCCCAACCCCGCTCACCTCTTCCTGTTTCTACAACATGGATCTCTATTTACCCATTTTCAATCTCATCTTCAGGCAGCAGCCAGAGTTTGCTTTTAAAATATGTCAGTTGGTGTATGTCACCCTGTGTTCACCAGGAGCCATCCCCTCACTCAGGCTAAAAGCCCAGGTCCTTACTGAGGTCCACGAGGCCTCACGCAATCTGGCTCTTTCATGCCCTGAATTTTTCCCATTTCCCCTTCTCTCCCTCCTCTACTCCACCCGTAGTTGGCTTGTGGATTCTGGAACACACATGCACAACCTCCTGCTTTATGGCTCTGCTGTTTTTTTACTCTTACTGCCAGAAACACTCCCTTCCCAATAACCCACCTAGCCTGTTTCTCCACCACCTTGAGAGACCTTCCCTGTCCCGATTGTAATCCCAATCCTGGAATCTCTGCTGTCCTAATATATTATTTTATCACTTACTTATTTATTATGTTTATTCTTCATTGTCTATGTCTCCCACTAGAAGGAAACTCCACAAGGGCAGGAGTTGTGGTCTGCTTTGTTCACTGATGGATCCCAAGTACTTGAAGACGGTATTGGTACATGTTGGGTATTTGACAAACATTGGTTGAATAAAATGAAGTATGAGGGAAAGCTTTCATCCACTAAATGAGTTGATGGAGCTTGGAAATAGAATGATAGAAGGCTGAATTATTCTCCACAGTGGAATGGGGGAGAATCTGGAACTGGGAGTTGTGAAAGAAGTTCCTTGCAGACCAGGAAGTTACGTTTAGAGGGAGAGATAATTGGCGGGGTTTGGGGCAAGGAGCCAGGAAGATGGTTGTGAATAGAGTATTGGGGGGTTGAGCATCAAGTGGGAAATCTCTGGTGGTGGACTCCTATGAAGGGTAATTAACAACAGGGCAGTCTAAAAGGTCATTTTAAGTAGTTTTCTATGCCCTACAGTGACGGTGCACAGAACACACAAGAAGCCAGCTACACTCAACAGCTTTGACTCCCTGGCTACTTTTATTTTATTTTATGCGGGAGATGATAATCAGGGAGACGAATGGTGCACTACATTTGGGTCACTATCACAAAAAGACATAGAATCTATAACAAGAATTCGGTGAAGACAGGAAGCACCGCAGAGGGGAAGAGAATACAAATTCTCCAGATTGTTGCTGAAATCTTGGACAGCGCCTTGCTTTTCCCTTGGATGCAGCCGATACATAGCTCTATTTTTGCAGGTAACCCTCCCTGACCTGCAGTCCCATGACAGTAGGAACAGTGCCTTCTCTTAGAGCTGTTGTGAGAATTTAAGCTGTAGTGAGCGCCTCTCCACATTAGAGGAGGTGAGCTGGTGCACTCGTATCCTTGGACAGAGCTCTGGTCTCCGACGGTTCCTTCCGCGCCCAGTAGGGGGCACTCAGCGGGCCTTGAGGCAGAGCTCGTAGGTTGGAGGGATATTGCCAAAACCTGAGACCCTGGGTGTGATATCGATGTCAGCGGGCGGCACCAGTGAGTGTAGAGAGAAGTTCTGAAGGATGGACGTAAAGTAGAGAAAGAGTTCCATGCGAGCCATGGCCTCGCCCAGGCAGATGCGCTTTCCTGTGGGCACAGGGGAGGATGGAGGGCGGCTCATATCTGCACTGGAATCATGAGGGCGTGTGGAGCTTTCTGGCCCCATCACCGTTCAGAGCCTCCTCAGCATCCCTGGGCTCATGATAATACCTGCTTTGTGGGGTTATTGTAAAGACTCAGTGGGCTCCTCTAGGATCTGCCACTTATAGGAGCTCAACGCATGGCAGCTACTTCTCTGATGGCTTGATCAGATCCCAAGAAGGAATGGCTCTAAAAAAAACCCTCGAATTTGAAGTTTCTGTTCATTTAAATTTCTCAAAGGTTTACCAAATGCCTGCTAGGTGTCAGATGCTGGTGAGGGGGGAAAAAAGGAAAGGAAAGGAAAGGAAAGGAAAGGAAAGGAAAGGAAAGGAAAGGAAAGGAAAGAAAAGGAGGAAGGAAGGAAGGAAGGAAGGAAGGAAGGAAAGAAAAGAAAAAAGAAAAGAAAAGAAAAGAAAAAAGAAAACTCACCCTTAAATAATGCTTACTATTTGTTGGTCACCCTTCCAATGGTTTGAAAAGATGAATCCCCACTTTATAGACAGGAAACGGAAGTAACTCACCTATGACTCCAGCCTTTATAAGGGTGGGGTGGGGTTCTGTTTCCTAACCACTGAACTGATTCAATATGGCTTATACTTAAAATACTCTCCTAAGGTGATGTGTCATGGGTCACAAGCTCCCGTTTATCAGGCAAATCCACCTGCTGCCTATTTTTTATACTACCTACAAACTTTTAAAAAAGAAAATCACACACCCCAAATGCAGTCACTTAGATTAGGCCAAGTCATCAACCCACGCTCAATATCTAAGCTAATTTCAACCTCCCCCAGAAATGCAGTCTTAACCAGTTAGTTGAGAATTTTTTGATCCGCCCCCACGAGGTGATCAGCCACATGGACCCTCTGAATGTCGAAAACAGACCAAGAATTGGGGGGTCACATCTAGCATGTTCCTGTGGTGGGGGTGGGGGGGACTCAGACCATAGAAACCTACCAGAGGAAAAAGGTACAAAGGCTTCATTCTTCTTGAAGCGGCCCTGCTCATCCAGGAAGTGTTGAGGATAGAAGGCATCCGGATAGCGGAAGTATTTGGGGTCTTTGAGAACGGAGCCAAGCAGCGGGAACACATCAGTGCCCTGGGGTGGAAATTCGGACAGTTAGGAGAAATCAGCGTTGGAGGATGGGGGCAGGGAACCAGGAGGAGAGAGGAGTGAGGTGGAGGGAGAAGGGGTAACAATGATACCCAGCTCTACCTTGGGCAGAAGGTAGCCTCGGAAATGAGTGTCCCGGATGACATTATGGGGGACACCCATGGGTACGATATCTGTCAGTCTCTGTATCTCATGGATCACAGCATCCGTGTAGGGCATCTTCACTCTGTCATCCACACTTGGGATCCGGTGTGGTCCAATCACCTGGTCAATCTCTTCATGGATCTTGGCTAGAAGGGGCCAGAAAACATAGCAGACAAGGACACGGGAGGTGTTTCTGGAGGTCAAGGCTAGGCTATGGGTTTGTATCTTTAGTACCTGTGGATACTGAGGGAGCGCACCATGTGTGTTTGCAATGCCTCTTTATTCTTAACATCTGACTCATTGGTGGGGTGCTCCCAGACCACTGGGAGGCACACAGCCTGGAGCCTAGAGTGCCCGCTGGCATGTTTGGTCTTTATCTTGCAAGTACTAAAGAGCAGGGCAGTGTCCTGGTCCCAGATAGGCTGTCATACACAGATTTTTGACAGGATGGAGAAAAGGTACAACACATAACCAGGACAGGATTGAAGCAAGTGACAGCAATTATGTCACAGGAATTAAGAACACTATTGGTGCAGTTACTCCTCCCTGAACTTCCTAGGTGAGTGACTCTGAGGCAAATGACTTAACCTTCTGAGCCTCTGTTTCTTTTTTTTTTTTTTTTAAGATTCTATTTATTTATTTGACAGAGAGAGATCACAAGTAGGCAGAGAGGCAGGCAAAGAGAGAGGGAGAAGCAGGCTCCCTGCTGAGCAGAGAGCCCAATATAGGGATTGATCCCAGGACCCTGAGATCATGACCCGAGCTGAAGGCAGAGGCTCCACCCACTGGGCTACGTAGGCACCCTGAGCCTCTGTTTCTTCATCTTCCAAATGGATGAGATGGTTCAACAAGTTCATAGAGTTGTAAAATTTACATAAAATGCAGTGTGCAAGTAAGTAGAATAGTGCCTGGGCACATAGCAGGTGTCCGTTAAATATCTGATTATTTAGATATTTAGTTGTTATTATTATTATTTGGTAAAAACACAAGGACAATGGAGGAGGGGCTAGAAAAGTTTGAGTGGAAACAAGTTAGTCTCTCCCATTGTCTATACCAGGAAAATATTTTTGGCTTGTTTTGAACTAAATTAGAAAGGAGAGATGCCAATATTGGGGGTTTTCTTTAAGCAAGGAATGAGCTCCTCATCACTAGAGTTACCCAACAAGACCAGACTGCAATTTATTGGAGATGGATTCTACTGGATTCCGGCACTATAGTTGGCTAAATAAGGACCATCAAAGGTAACTACCTCCTAATCCCTAGAACTTGTACATGTTACCATAGAGGACAAACTTGGGGCATTGAAGACATCATCAGAGTAAGGCTCTTGAGAGGTGGAGATTATCCTGGATTATCCAGATTGGTCCTAAATATAATCACAAGTGTCTGTGTAATTGGGAAGCAGAAGGGTCAGAGTGAGAGGAGATGTGAGCACTGAGGCAGAGAGATTTGAAGATGCTATGCTTCTGGCTTTGAAGATGAAGCAAGGGTCATGAGCCCAGGAATGCAAGGAATACAGCTCTTGAAGCTGGAAAGGCAAGGAAACTGATTCTACCTTGATTCCACCCAGTGAAATCCTGTGTAAACTTCTGAAATCCAGAACTGTAGGATAATAGACTTATGCTAATTTAAGGTGCTAAATTTCTGGTAATTTATTACAGCAACCAGAGGAAACTAACACAGGCACCAAGTAGAAGATTAGTTAAATAGCCTTCTAAGTCAGAGGTGAGATTCTGTACACTGAGATTCCAGAGTGTGAAGAGTGTATGACCGTGGGGTTCTAAGGTTTTAAGATTATGTCTTCTTCCCTGTTGGGAGTGGGGGTCACCAGGTAAGCAGCTCAGGTGAACACTCACCTTCCACCTCAGGGTACTTCATCATTAGCAGCAATCCATAACGTAGTGTAGAGCTCACAGTCTCTGTGCCAGCAAAGAATAGGTTGAGTGTGGTCAGCACCAAATTCTTGAGATTAAATTCTGTGTGGGGATTATTTGTATCCTGAAAATGAGAGGGATAGGACACAGAATCACCATCTTCTGTGTTTATCTTCTTATTTTGTCTCTTTGTGGAAACACAATAGATGGTTAAACCAAGTGACTATCTGGGAGAGGAAACAGCCAGAGCAAAGGTCCTGGGGCGGAAGTGTCTCCCGTGTATAGAGGAACAACAAGGAGGCCAGTGTGATTGGAGTGGACAGTGGGGAAAATGGGAGGAGAAAAATTAGAAATTTGAAAGTTCTAGGACATTAAGCTATATAATTGTAAAATTCCAAGTGCTGAGTGTAATTTAAAAAATACATAAATTTCTAAAATTCCAAGACTTTATGATATAGAAGTATTAAGTTTCTAAATTTCTACATCTCTAAGACTTTTAAATTTGAAGCTTAAACTCTTAAGCTTCTCAAATTCTAAGACTGTAAAGACTCATTCTGGCTTTCTGTATTTGTAAGTCTCTGGTAGTTGTAATCACAAATGATTTGAAAGGTATAAGTTTTAAGTATCCTTGCTCCTAAAATTTCTAGATTCAAAGTTTATTTTAAAAGTGTAAAAGTGTAAGAGTAGGGTGCCTGGGTGGCTCAGTCGTTGGGCGTCTGCCTTCGGCTCAGGTCATGATTCCGGGATCCTGGGATCGAGCCCCACCTCGGGCTCCCTGCTCAGCAGGAAGCTTGCTTCTTCCTCTCCCACTTCCCCTGCTTGTGTTCCCTCTCTCACTACCTCTCTCTGTCAAATAAATAAATAAAATCTTTAAAAAAAAAATGAAAGCGTAAGAGTGTATGTATGCCTTTACAGTTTTATATCTCATCTATAAATAAGAGCCAACCATGTAAAACAATGCTTGCTCTTTTATCTCCAACAGGTTTGCAGGTAAAATTTGCAGGTGCTAGGGAATAGGATGATGAGAGAAAAGGATTGGAGGAGAGGTACCTGGTACATCTTGATGAGGAAGCAGTCAATGAAGTCCCGAGGGTTTTGTGGGTCAAAAGATGCTTCGTTGATCTTCACCCTAGAGGCAATGAAGTCCTTGAGCTCTTCTACCAAGTAGTAGATGCGATTGTGTCTTCCTGGCAAGTACTGCATGATCCCGGAATACATGTCATACAGCTGTGGGGAATAAACAAAGGGAGTTTGTCAGCAATGGACACCTGGGGCCAATGTAGGGTGAGTCTGGGGTCAGCTAGCTGGGCTCAACACCCAGATCTGCATCTGAGGATTGGGTGAGTCCATTTGCTTCTTGGAGACTCCAGGTGTATCAATCCTTGCCTCCCAAGGTTGTGGGGAGGACTAAGTGTGGTATCGGTGGGTGCTTAGTTCACTGAGATTGGGAGTGGGCAGGGAGGTGTTTAGTGGTCACCTGTGCCCAGGGTGTGCTCATCTCAATGAAACTCTCATTGATCATCTGCAGCAGCTTCAGGAACTGCTGGTCTTCATAGTCAAAGCGGCTTCCAAAGACGACAGAACTGATGACGTTGGAGACAGTGCGGCTCAGGAAGAAGGTGGGTTCGATGGGAGAACCTGGATGGGGGAAATTGTCTAGGTTGGAGACAGTGATTAGTGATTAGTGTCACTAGGTTAGTGACAGTGACAGGAGCATGGGATGGAGAATCATTCAATCATGGATACAAGTCTTGGCTCCACGGCGTAATAGCACGTTAGTTACTTCATTTTTTTGTGTGTTTCAAGTCTAGATTTCCCAGTATGCAAATTGGTTTAGTAACCACTAAAACCTGAGGCTTCAATATAATTATCCATGTGAAATGCTTAGCACTGTCCTTGCCATGGAATAAGCACCCAAAAAGTGCTGGTGGAGTTTAATCGTTACTTTTGGTTATTTAACTGTGTTTGTGCTGTAGAGTCACAGATTTGGGAAAGAAGTCATGGTATGGGACACATTTAAAAAAAAAAAAAGGAAGGCTGGATTCTGTGTATCTCTAGCAATGATTCCATTTGAACATTAAGAAAATTCTTCCCTTGGCCTCAGCTGCACCATTTAAAACAGGATACCAGATCTGGGGACAATTTTTCTAGAACAATTCTCATATTCACAAATACACAATTTTGCAAATAATTTCTAGGGGCACAATGGACATTCAAAGCCTTCATGTGGGGGTGCCTGGGTGGCTCAGTGGGTTAAAATCTCTGCCTTCAGCTCGGGTCATGATCGCAGGGTCCTGGGATCGAGCCCCACATCGGGCTCTCTGCTCAGCAGCTTCCCCTCTCTCTGTCTCTGCCTGCCTCTCTGCCTGCTTGTGATCTCTGTCCGTCAAATAAATAAATAAAATTTTAAAAAAAGCCTCATGTAGACTGTTTAGTTAGCATCCATGAAGCCTAGAAGGAAAACTCTGATTTAGAGAAATTTCTCTCTCTTGCTATATCTTATCTATTCCTCTTTGTACTTCTAAGCTGCTGTCTCTTTTTTTCCCCTCTAAATCCTATTGGTTCCAGACCTTATTTCAGGGCAGGGATTGGATTCCTTAAAAAATATAATCAAATGGGTATAGAGTTTCAGATTTGCAAGATGAAAGATTCTGGAGATCTGTTTCACAACAATGCAAATACACTGGAACAGGCACTTAGGAATGGTTAGGATGGTCAAATTTTACACATTATGTAGTTTTATGACAATTGTATTATGTATTTATGTATTTATGACAATTGTATTCCCTAAGTAGAGGTGGCAGAGACCTATGGGTTGGGTGTATGTACTATATGTATACATATATATGTAATTAAATTTGATCCTGTCACTGGAAAAAGGCACGAATTTACATATTGCAAAAGTTTGCACATGCTTTCAGGAGCTCACAAAATCCCTGAGATCCACTGATTAAAGCTTCTGAACAAGTGGTCTCTGAGAGGCTTTCACGTTAACTTTTAACATGGAGCCTGGCTAGAAATCTCAGTAAACCCTTAGTCTTTTTCATCCTCTCCCATTCTAGAGCCTTCTCCCACCAAGGCCCATCTTCTCATGACTGAACTTTTTATAATAACCATTCATCTTTTAGCCCTGCCCCCTTGTTGCCCCTCCCCCTTACCCTTGGTCTTCCGTAATTCCTCTAGTAAAAAGCCAGCCTCTTCCTGGATCCGCTCCTCAATGCTCCGCTTCCCCATTCCGAAGTCCCGAAGAATGGTCAGGGAGAAGCGTCGGAGGATCCTCCATCGTTCTCCATTAGCCAGAGCTACACCTGCCAGAATCTTTGTGTCAGCCTCCTGCCTCCCCTCCCCTTCCTGTGTCCAACTCTGTGCTACACAAGGATGGGAACAAATTATGAAAGCTCTGGACTCTGGTCTCAGGGAAGCCCCTCCCGACCTCCCAGGCTTGATGGAGAGACTGTGGTTCCCTCCCTACGGGACCCTCAAAAACAGTCTAGGATTGAGATGGAGGGAAAGGAAATCAGGCTAGGAATGATTGAGGGAGATCACGGAGAGTTTCTTACACGATAAAGACCTAGAACTGGATAAATACCTGGTTGGATGCATAGGAAGGGGGAGGGGGTATAGAGAGAATGGCATTTACGGTATCTTGGAATGGAGAACTACTTTTATCTTCTGTACACCATTTGGGTTCTCTAGATATATGCATACATGTACACAAAAGCTCATACCTGTACATCAATATACCCACCTTCTAGTAAGTAACACTTTGAAATGACCAGATGTGTGTGGATTGATAATTAATGTTTAGAAATTTAATGAAATTATTTCAGTGGATTAATGATGGAAGGAAGGGTTTTGATTGGAATGACTGGTAGATGATTGATAAGAGACTCAATGGATGAGTAAAGTGTTAATGAGTAGAGGGTTTTGAGATGAATGGATAAATGGCTGGAAAGATTTATGGATTGAAATGTTAATTGATGGGTGAATAATAGAAGGGTTAGTGAATGGATGGATGGGTTGGTGGATAGATGGGTGAATGGAAAGTTAATTCATAGATGCAGATAAATTGGATAGAAAGATATTTGTATAGAAAGGCTAATTAATAAATGGATGTTTTTGGAGGATGCGTGGATCAATGGAGAAGTGGATAAGTGGGAGGAAATAGATAGGGATAGATGGATGGATGGAAATATGGAAAGAATAGCATGAGGCTGTTTGGAATTGAAGAGTGTGAACAGTTAGAGGTGGATGTATAGGACATACGAGAAAGGCATATCCCTAAGTGGAGGCGGCAGGGACCTATGGGTTGGGTGTGTATGTATGAACAGGGAGATAAGAAGTAATGTTGGTTGTAAGGGCTTCAGTGGGTATACAGTGTCACTAATCCATTCAAAACAGAAGTAATGCAGCAGATACTCAAGAGTCAGATGGTTTGGGTTCAAAACAAAATTGTTTCACTTACTGTGTGATATTACCCAAACATTCTCACCCTCAGTTTCCTCATTTGCAAAATTAGTAAGACATTAATAGTTCCCTCAAAGGAGTCAATGCAGTCATTCATGCAGAGGACTTATCAAGGAATCCGGGACATAGGAAGTATATTATCCTCATTTTGTCGTTGTTACTTACCATGACCTTGGAAGTTTCGCTCTATCGAAGCCAGTTCTCCGCGGCCACTGAACTCATCTGCCCGGTCTACCAGGGCCTCTTTCACTGCCTCATGTCCACATAAAACAACTACTGGCCGGGGACCCATGTACACAGTGAAGACTGGACCATACTTCTCCTTGAGCTGGGAGCAAAGGAAGACCTAAGTGGAGGGAGCTGAGTGGAGGACCAAGTATAGATCAATCAAGGACTTTAGGGTGGAAATTTCAGGAGGGTACAGTTGTAGGAATAACAGATAAAGGTGAGTCTTGGGCTTAGACTATTGAGCAAAAGGTACAGAGGCCTGTGATTCTGGGCAAGACCTCCCCGCCCAGTGCCTCCACAAGCCTTAGTTTCCTCATCTGTAAAATGGTGGACCTGGATGAACTGGACTCCAAGATTTATGCTTCTCTCTCTGCAATGCTCAATTTCTGGAACCCTAAGATTTCATGATACTGAGTGTCAAAATTCTAAGTCCATCACAGCGCACGAGTTCTTGTGTTTAAGGGTGTAAGGTATTATGATTCTGAAGTCCTCAGATATGAGAGTCTTAAGTTCCAGTGTGCCAGGAGTCTGTGTTTCCACAAGTTTAAGATTCTGGAATTTTAGTAGTCTAAGGTTTATAAGGTCTATGTTTCTAAGAGTCTGTGTTTTAGATGTTATGAAGTTATACATGTGTCTACAGAATTAGTTGTTGCCAGCTCTGTGAGAGGAGTAGTCAGACTTACCTTCATGAAAGACTGAAAAGTGGCATCAGTACGGACTTGCAACACGTTCCCCAGGAAGGGTATTGGTGTGGGCCCAGGGGGCAGCTTTCCCCCCTTGTTGTTCCGTTTCCAGGCGATGAGGATGAGTAGACAAGACAAGGAGAGTGCCAGAAAGATGGTGAAAGCCCCTCCTAGCTCCATGGTGTCAGGTTGAAGGGTTGTGTCCAGGGAACCAGATTCTGCTTAAATATATTCTGGGAAATCAGCTGTGCAGAAACCTGAACACCCTGAGATTTAAGTTTTCCGGGTATGGATTCCATTAGAGAGGATATTGCTTTATCTGGGGGGTTGTTATATAACCTCTAATCTCCCACCTGAATAAAGATGGATTGAATTCACCCAGGGAAATCCACTGGGGCCATACCTCTTTCTTCATATTTCCAGTCTCAGCTCAATTCCTAGTTTGACACGTCTTGGTGGGATGTGGGAGCAGCTGAACATCATTTTTAGACTACTGCATTAGGAATCAGACAATCTGGGTTCAAATTTCCACTCCACCTTTTCTCCATTGGCAAGTCACCTAACCCTCTTGGCCTCAGTTTCTGGAATCTGTCAATAATAGGGTAACCATACTGTTTTATAAAGACTTGGTAAAGAACAAAGATGACTCCTTTCTCATTGCCTAACTAATCAATTTCTTTAAAAATACAGTATGATGAAGATTTAGAATAGCAAAAGAAATAACTCAATTGAAAAGATTTTATTTTCTTTTTTAAGATTTTATTTATTTATTTTTAGAGAGAGTGACAGAAGGAAAGCAGGGAGAGGAGCAGGTGGGATGGGTGATGGAGGGGAAAGAATTTCATGCAGATTCCACTAAGGGCAGAGTCCAACATGGGGCTTGATCTCACCACCCTGGTTTTACGACCCTAGCCTAAACCAAGAGTTGGATGCCCAATTGATTTACCATAGATAGGCTTGAGCTGAGCTCAAATTCAGAGATTCCATTACTAAAGAAAGAAGGGATAAATGGATGTAAGGGAACAATTAACAATAAACATGGCATCTGCCATGGGGATCAACCCAGGACCAATAAGGAAACAAAAGAAAAGCAATCAGCAAACAGAAGAGTTGATATTCAGCAGATGCACTCATCCTTAGGAAGGTCTGGGATAAGAAGTGGGGTCCTAGACATGTTCCCGGACACAGCAGAGGTGAATCCTTTGGGCATCGTGCTGCTTTTGTTCACATGCTTCCAGATAAAGCTCACCAGGATGGATACGCGGTAAACAGGAAGAGGGTGAGGCTGTCTCAGATCTCCAGGTCCCCAGGAACAAGGAACCGTCCTTGGCCATGGGCCCTGGCTACAGAGATCTTGGGACTCAGCTTCTTTGGTAACCTGAATACCTTTGGATTAAAATCCCTGGGGGTTGGATCCCACGTGGGAGCTTGCCATGGCTGTAGAACTTATGTAACTTGTAGTCTCCTCTGAGCTCGCCGCTGAGTGCGGTGTCTTCACCCTGCAGTCCTCCTTCATTAACGTAGGCATCCTCCATGTTTGTCCTCTGAGAACATGTCCAAGGTCATGGACGTTCTAGGGTCAGGGAGAACCAGGTTTGCATTCTGCCTCTGCTCCTTTCGTGGTGAGTGGGTTCTGGAACAGGACACCTAATTTCTTTGAACCTCAGTTTCCCCTTCCATAAAATGAGAATACCCATAACAGTTCCTACCTTGCCAAACCTGGAGGTTTGTATGGACTAAATGTATTGAAAGCCATCAGCACGGTGCCAGTACTATCATTCAACAACCAACTTACTTTCTAACCCAGGCTCCTCAGCCCTTTGAAATCTGTTCTCATGGAGGAATTTGCTGTAAGTGTGGCAGATGGCTAGGGCAGGGAGGCTGAGCAAGGCTGAGGACAGGCTATGGTAGGGGGCAGGTCATGGGCAGGACTGTCGCTGGGTGCTGGGCTAGCAGGGAGAAGAGGTGGTGACTGCCCATTCCTGAGCCTCTTCTGTGCACCAGCACTGTGCTAAATTCGTGACTGTCATACTCTGATGGACCTCCACGTCCTTGTGCATCATTCCCATTTTCCACACAAACAGACTAAGACTCACCCAGGTTACTGGGCTCTCAAGGGCAGACTTAGGATTAGCATGCCTCTTTGCCCTTCCAGAAACTCTCTCCCACCAGTGACTTGCCTGGGGGTCCTCTGTTTGGGGAAGGTTTGGGAATGGGACCAGCTGGTAGGTATCTAAGAACGAGGGAGACTGTGAGTGGAGTGTGGGGAGGGGGTGTCCCTGTTGCTGAAATGGAGGTTTGGGAGGGTAGCTACTTACTGTTGTTTTCAGTGGGTGAAGCAGAGACCTACCGAATTTTCAGGAGCACCATGGTGACCAAGAGTCTCCAGGAAGAGCTAAGAACGCAAAGCACTGTCTCCCTTGCTGAAGCCCCAAATCAGTGGGCTGGGGTAGCCTCCACCATCCTTCCTTCTGTGCTCAGACTTTTAACTGAGCTGAACTGGATGGTTCCCCAAAGTTTCCATTACCACCTTGTTTGCACTGCTTGGCACTTTTCCTAGGAGCTGAGAGAGAGCCCTGGTGCCTGTCTCCTCCAGGAAGCTCCCCATGACTGCAGCCTCTGACCTGTTTATTCTGTTTCTAGGTTGGGGGGGGGCAGTTATCTGATCTCTGTACCCAATCCAGGAAGAATGAGGTGGGAGAGCATCTGTGAGGCTGGGTTGGTGGACTGAGAAAAAAAGAGAGTACTAAGAAAGGTGAGAAGAAAGAAAATGTTCTTCCTGGCCTCTTCCTCATCCCCCACAGCCAGCCGCTATGCATAACAAACAATTACATAATCAGCCCCCTCCAGCTCGGCAGGAGCCAGAAGGAGAGGGATCTGGGCAAAGGACATGTGTCAGTAAGAAGGGAGAAAAGAAAGTGATCTCAGGGTGACAAAAAACAAAAGAGGGAAAGAGTGGCATGGGACAGAAAGAGAGAGACAGAGTATCAGAGGGAGACTGGGGGGAAGGGACAGGAGGGAGGGGTCAACTAGGACCCAGAGCAACAGCGAGAAGGAATCAGAAAAACATACAAGATAGAGACTGACCCCTGGAGGGAAAGACACAGAGAAAGGAAGAGCCAGACCTAAGGGACACTCACTCAGAGATGTGTAGACAGAGAGAGAGAGAGCTGGACACAAGGAGAGATCTAGAGAAACAAGAAATAGAGCTGCAGAGGAGGGAGTCACACACATGCTGAGAGCCTGAGACAGAAGGTCAGGGAGAGGGACACAGAGACATAGAAAGCTGCAGGAGTCCAGGGAAGGAGCCCAGGACCTGCCTGAAGCAGAAACAGAGAGGTGTCAGGGACCAAAGAGATGGTCCCATCAAAGGGCTGGAGAGCTGGTCAAGTCTTGTGAGCAGCCAGCAGACAGGAGACATTATTTTTCTAGTTTGTGTTATCCGTCGGGCCTTGATAGAGCAGATCTCTTGGAATCCCAACCACAAGCCTCAATGACAAGGGCCCCAGCTGACACTTACAGAGTACTGACTATGTCCCAGGATGGTCTCAGCACTTGGGCACACACCCACCCGACCCCAAAGCAACCCCACCCGGTAAGGACAACTACAATCTCCACTGCACAGAGAAAGAGACTGAGGCATGCAGAGGGCTAAGTCAAGGTCACCAGCTAAGAGTCAGGGGCCGGCACCCAGACCATCTGGCCCCAATCTGCCATTTTTTAAAAAAGATTCTATTTATTTACTTGAGAGAGAGAGAGTGAGAGAGAGAGAGAGCATGAGAAGGGAGAGGGTCAGAGGGGGAAGCATACTCCCTGAGCACGGAGCCCAATGTAGGACATTATTCCAGGACTCCAGGATCATGGCCTGAGCCGAAGGCAGACTCTTAACCAACTGAGTCACCCCGCCCCTCCAATCTGCCATTTTAAGTTCTCCACTCCCAAGAGAGAGCTGGGGACCGTAAAGACGTGGCCCCCAAATTTGAAAGTGAGAGTTCTTAGCCTGGAGTCCAAAGATTGATGGCAGGAGCTTCTGAAAATCCCCAAATGATCTTGCATCATGAGGCTCCATCATGCCCCCTGGGAGAAGCTGAGTTCATGTCTTTGGATAGGTATAGTGGGGAGGCATAGTTCTAATTTATTGCCAACATGGTTATTATGAACCCTACTACATGTCGGGCACTGTTCTAAAGGATGGAACTCCACAGAGACGAAGCAAACAATCACAACAAAACAATGAGATTCTCTGTCCCTGGAGATGCTATATGGATGGGAAGAGGGATTGATCGTGAGCGCTTGCCTCAAGCCTTTTGCCCTTGCTGTGCCCTCTGCCAGGACTGCTTCTCCTCACATCTTCCCACGGCTGACTCTCAGAAGTCACCTCCTCCAAGAAGCCCTCCCTGACCACCCAATCTCCAGCAGCCGCCATCAGGCAGTATCCAGCATAGTTCCTAGTTTAATTTTCCATAGTTCCTAGTTTAATTTTCTTCATGGTGCTTATCACCAACTGAAGTCATCGTATTTATTTAGTGGGCTGCTTGCTTTTTGTCAGCATTCACAGCCTTCACGAGGGGAGAGAATTTGATTTTCGTGTCCCCCCCCCATTTTTTAAATTTATTTTTGAGAGAGAACCAGAGCGTGCATGTGTGTGAGCAGGGGAAGGAAGGAAGGAGGGAGGAGAGAGAGAGAGACTCTCAAGCAGACACCCTGCTGAGCACAGAGCCGGATGCAGGGTTTGATCTCATGACCCTGAGATCATGACCTGAGCCGACATCAAGAGCCTGATGAGGGAGACAGATGTTCCCCAGGCAGGTGGCCCTCTGTCCAGGTCTCGCTCCCACTGACACAGCTCATGGACTCTCATCCCAGCCCTCAGCTTGGGGAGGTTGGGAGTGAGACTGCCGCTCAGCTCAGGAGTTACCTCTGAGGAAATGGCGGGGGGGAGGCATGGACAGTGACAGGAGACAGGAGGGATGGAGGAACAGAGAGCGGCTGGCTGTCCAAATGCCCTGGCATCTCACCATCCAGGCCCAAGCCCTCCGCCTTGCCTCCCATCCCAGCCCTGACCCCACTGGACTGCTGCTCCTGACTGCGGGTTTCTCTCTCCGACCCGATTGTGTGCTCTGTGACCGCATGAACCCGGCAGTCAGTTTTTGCTGTTTCCCCGCCGCTCCACAATAAAT